TGGACTAATATGAATCAAACTAAATAAATAATTAAATTTGAAAAATTAAAAAATATCAATCAAATAAATGTGCAATACATTACAAAATAGTATTTTTAAACTAGAGTTAATTGTTTTGATCTCGTAACAGCTTACCGTATTTTCGATATAATTCTGTTTAATTGCAGAAAAAAAAATAATGATAAAAAGTAAAAATAAATATATAAAAGTATATAATAAAGTAAAACATATAGAAGATTGAAAGAGTTAAAGGAAATATCGAGTATCTTAACGACTAATTTGTTTGCATATCTCGTACAACGAAACTGAACAGATGCAGGAACAATCGAATGCAGGTGCAACAACCCGTTGCCGATAACGCCCAGATGTGTATGTACACCAAGGATTTCCTTTGAAAGGTTGCCGGATAATGTCGAGAAGATTAACGAGAGAAATTATGCTACGATATTATTATAGTATACATATATATATATATATATAACTGTATGTGTGTAAGCAGAATTATTACATCATATTAAATATTTAAATATATACAAATATTATTAATAAAAAAGTAAATAAAAATTGTAATTTGATAAAAAAAAAAAAAAAAAAAGAAAGGATTAGTATTACTAAATAATATATATATAACTGTGTGTGTGTAAGAGCAGCTTCTTTATTACATCGTATTAAATATTTAAATGTATACAAATATTATTAATAAAAAAGTAAATAAAAATTGTAATTTGATAAAAAAAAAAGAAAGAAAGAAAGGATTAGTATTACTAAATAATATATATATAACTGTGTGTGTGTAAGCAGCTTCTTTATTACATCGTAGTAAATATTTAAAAATATCCAAATATTATTAATACAAAAGTAAATAAAAATTGTAATTTAATAAAAAAATAAAAAGAAAGGATTAATATTACTAATTATTTAATAATCTTTTATACGATTATTATCGAACGTGAATATAAAAGAAAATCTCTCAAGTATTGTGTAATACGAAATGAAAGAAAAGGATGAAGAATAAGAGAAAGAATAAGAGAAAGAAAAAGAAAAACATAAAGAAAGGGAGTGGTTTAGCTACATATACAAACATACATACATGCATTCATATATACATACATACATACATACATACATACATAATGGTTTGAAAAGCATATCTTCGCCTACGGAGAGAAATTAGGAGCGAGAGGCTCTCTTGGTGCAGATAGATATAGGACTCCTCCTCTTGCTGCCAATAACGCGAGCCATTAGTACCATGAAGGAGAAACGAGAAGCCGCGGTTGTTGACCCATTTCGTATTTCTACGTTTCTACTACCACCACTAATACTAATACTAATACTAATACCAATATCAACTACCCCAACAACATCCGACTCGACTCGATGATGATGATGATGATGATGATGATGATTATGATGATTGTCACGACTACGACAAACGAACTAATTACTTTCTTATTGTTATCTCGACAAATCCCTGACATTTTTCTCTTTCTATTATTTTCCCTTTTTTCCTTCTTCTTCTTCTTTCCTACCCTCCCCCCTCGTATTCCCTTTTTTTTCTATACGTTTTCTTCGATTGGATTTTTCGTTTAATTTCGTTAAATATTATTACACAAGATGTTATCGTGTATAATTTTTAAACGTTTTTTATAGATTTGTTGTGTTCAATATGATTAGATTTTTTGTTAATCTATTCGTTAGTTTCGTTGATTTATAATAATTGTTGAAATGTTTTTTCCTTCTTTTTTTCTTTTCTAAATAAAACAAGATTCGCGTTGATTAGTGCGTAAGGGGGAAAGGGTTTAACAATGGGACGTATAAATAACTTTGAATTTCCTTTGAATACGCGATTACTGAATCGGAATAAAATTATTTAACATAATTAACCTTTATTTCTCGAGATCGATTTAATATAATTAAGGAATTGTTATTGTAATAATAATTATATCTACGAATATTTCAATATTTTTAAGTAATCTAATTAATCTCGAATAATAACGGATCTAATTAATGAATCGTTTTAAAAAAAAATAATAATTGACAAATATATATTTATCATTTTTGTTAACGCGTATATATATATATATAAATTAAAAAATCTATAAATAATCTGATTGAAAAGAATACACCGCGAGAATTTCATACGAAATCTCTCCGATAATTTTTCTATGATAAAACTTTTCGATCGTGAAATATATATAAAAAAGTTAAAATCGTTTAATTAAAACAACTCGAGAGAGAGAGAGAGAGAGAGAGAAAAAAGAAAATACCTATTTGAAAATATTTTCAACGATTCCATTTAAATCATGATATCCAAATTTGACTTTTCCAAAGTTTGACGAACCGGATATTCTGCAATTCAATTTTGAAAGTTGATAACGTTATCGATCGGGAATATCCAAGTATAACTGGTTTCCTATGTAAAGGAAAAGCACTACTTAAAGCAAACCCAATGATTAAAGCTTCGATTGAACAACAACCCTCGGATTCATTGAAACATAAACGATAGAATTGTCTGTGGCTTTTCCAGCACGAATCAAACTGCATTTCACCAATTACAATATCCGCACTGTTAGCGTGATGATAAACCAATTGAGTTCTCGCTTTAGTCATGCAATTAATAATACAAATAACCATACCGTTGACTGAAAATCAAATCATTTTCATTTTCCAAACAAATTTTATTTCAATGTCGAACAACGAATAACAAAACTATTTCATCTCCTTTATATAAAAAGGAACAAATAAAAAACACTTTTATTTATCTTTAATTAATACCTATTCGTAATTATATTATAATACGACAAAATAACTAGTACATCGTATTAAACGTCTTTACTTTCTCTCTTTTTAATTAACAAATAAATTTCTTTTTTTTTGTTTTGCTTTTGCTTCTTCTTCTTCTTCTTCTTCTTCTAGAAATAAATTATCAATTCCATTCGTATTACACTGGTAAAGCGATAACAATTCCAACTTATTTATATTTATTTACAAGAGAAAGAGAAAGTAATAGAGAGAGAGAGAGAGAGAGAGAGAGAGAGAGAGAGATAGAGAGAGAGATAGAGAGAGAGAAAGAATGAAAAAAACATTCGTTGTATTAATCAACATCAGTTGAATACTTCTTCTTCTTCCCAGACGATCTAATAAACAATCTATGAAAAATTGAAAAATAAAACACATATTATTAAAAAAATTGATTTTTCAAAACACATATCAAAGTATTTAATTATATTATATAAAACATAATGACCTCTCTTCGCGCGATTATCGATCGAAAAAATGTACGTTTTGTCTATAAAAGCTCGATCAAATATATTTGGCCCCTCCCCCCCTAAATCAACGATCTTTGTCGCTGCTCCTTATTTATTTTTTTTTTTTTTTTTTTTTTTTTAAATAACGCTCGAAAAAGCGTACTATACGCGTAATACCCTACCCTAAACGCGAATAAATATTTTACGTATTCTAAGCATGTATATAATATATACATATATATATATATATATATTTAATTGTAAGTATTACGATTAACGTATGCATATATAATATTATACGTCACAAACTATAATAATAATAATAATAATGATGATGATGATGATGATAATAATAATAATAATAATAATAATTTCATTCGAGGTAAGCCATAACCTTATTAATATAATATAATAATTCTAATTAATCAGCCATTTTGTGTGTTCATTTATTTATTTATTTATTTATTTATTCGATAATGAGAAAATCGATTACTAAACAATGCCATGAACCTTTCCTTACGAAAGATTAGGATTACAGCTTATTGTTAGTCCTATCCTTCGCGATCCTAAGAAATATATATATATTCTTTTATATATATGATTCTCTCAATCATGATAAATAATTATTAATGAAGTAATTATTTTCATTAATTGATATTTCGTTTGAAACGGGCGGAGATATCGTCGATGCTTTTAGGAACGCGAAGCGAGGATCGTGATTTTTGTTAATTTTTCGTTTAATCGGCAGCCGGTTCATTTATTTATTTATTTATATATATATATATATATACTTATTATATCTATTTTCCCTTCTATCTTTTTTTCTTCTTTCTTTTAATTTTACAAAAGAATAAATAAAACATAGGATAATGAGAGAATGGAAAATACAAACAAAAAAGAAAAAAAAGTAAGTAAGTAAGTTAATACGATTGGAAATGAATGAAAAAAAAAAAAGAAGAAAGTAATGATCGATGATCGATGATCAATGGGGGATAATATATCCTATAATATGATGATTTAAAACGATTCAAACGCGTAATAGCGTATCGTTGTCGTTAATGTCGAGCAATGGTCGTCTTTGATGCTGAACAAATCTGTCAGCAGGTTGTCGACGTTGTTCTTGTTGTTCTTGTCGTTCTTGTTCTTGTTGTTCATCAACAGATTCTTCTTGTTCTTGTAATTGTTGTAATAGTTGTAATTGTTGTTGTTGCTGTTGTTGCTGTCTTTGCGAAGGACGCTGACCGTTAGATTCGTAAAGAATCATATAGGATGGTAGGCGTCGTAGTAGTTGTTATCGCCTAGACGAACGAAAATCGGCACTAGGCTATGCAAGGGTGACCACCCCCTCTGGTTCTGGTGACCAACAGTTATCTGATAACCAGCAACCGATCACCATTGAGATAACCCCGATCAAAAGTGCGAGGATGATGTAACCCTTGGCGTTTCCTAAAGACCCTGTTTAACATCCCCCACATCATATCATTTAAAAAAAATTTTTTTTTTTTAATAATCTATCTATCATAACCCCTAAACTATCATATTTGTAATTTTCAATGTGTCGGTGTATGATTCATTTGTTTTTAACATACACCCCTTCATATTATTTTGTTTATTTGTAATCTATATTCTTACCTAACTATCGTATTTGTGATTTTTATTTTATATGTGTGTGTGTGTGTGTGTGTATTCATATTTGTTTTATTATCATTCGAAGAGATTGAAAATATT